GGGGATGTAGGATCAACTGTCTTGAGGCAGCAGGAATTGTTTGTCTTAAACATTGTCAGAAGGTCATCAATGGCAACTCCTGTATTTTTACAGGGATCAGCAGGCCAGCAAAGATCACCATTAAAAATCTGCATTTCGCTTTACCAAGAGAAGTGATTTTCGGTATTACATCACAAGATACGTCATATTTAAACACTCTTCCTCCATGACTAAGAGCTTCCAGGATTCATAAGTGTTCAGTAGGAGATAGACTTCTAATCAGGTTTCTCTTTCCTTGGGCAGAGCAGTCTTATTGAAAAGGAATTGCACCAATAGTTGGTGAAAATATTGCTTACATCATACTTTAGATGTGTTTTCTTCCACAGCAACAGCGGCTGTATACACAATATTCTTGGTTTTCTTGCTCCTGCAAAAGAATACAACACCATTGTAAAAACTTCATAAAAACCAAGAGCCCTGCATATATATTTCAGAGGCCCAAGAGCAGGACCTCTTTAAACTATATGCGATTGGTGAAATTTGTTCTAAATTCCTTATTTGTTCATATACAGTATATTTACCATGAAAGGTTTTATTTAACAATGCAGTCAGGCCCGTCGCTACCGCAAGGCAAGTCAGGCGGCCGCCTTACGGCGCTGCAGGGTGAGGGCGGAAAAAACAGGGCATTTTGACAAGTACTTGTACTTGTCAAAATGCCCCGATGTTTGCACTATGTTTTTTTTTTTCACTCGCCTTCGGGGCGGGAGAGCAGCGGCGAGTCAGCACTGGTCCAGTGGGAGGAGCTCCAGGTGGGGTCCTAATTTAGCTGGCCGGCGACTGCCTGAGGATCCCGACACGCGCAGCACCTCAGGCAGTCATTGGCCAGCTAAATTAGGACCCCACCTGGAGCTCCTCCCACTGGACCAGCGCTGACTCGCTACTACTCTCCCGCACCGAAGGTAAGTGGAAAAAAACCCACACATAGCGCAAACATCGGGGCATTTTGACAAGTACTTGTCAAAATGTGCTGTTTTTACAGGGGGTCGGGGAGGGGGGCGCAAAAATGCACCTTGCCTGTGTGGGCATGAATCCTAGCACCGGCCCTGAATGCAGTGACCCAGTGCCTACAAAGTATGATGGCCCGGTCTGAATTTATTCAACAGCAGCTAAAGAAAATATATACAGTATGTTTTTTTTTTAAATTTGACTTGAGATTGATGGGTTAAGACTGTTTCTCAAACTTTTGAGTCACGGGAAACTTTTAAAATCGGAGGTACCCCAGTCTAAGGCCCCATTTAGCATCTATAGCGACAGGTGACATTGGTTGCCAAGACTGAGTCAGGTGACTTGAGGGTGCCTCTCTAATGCAGAGTGGAATAATTTTTTGAGAGTTTAGTTCATTTTGCCGCGGCACCCCAGTATCCTCAGGCGGCACAATGGTTAAGAATCACTGGGTTAATAGATTCACTCCAAGGCTATACCCACATGGGGTTTTCTGCAGCAAGAACCTGCAGAATGCCAGGTGGGTCCTTACAGATGCAATTGCTGTGCCCATTAAAGTTGATGAGAGGGTGACAGCAGCCACAGTCCGCATGTAATTGTACAGTTACTTGTGGTTTGGGATAGACTATTGTTCTTGGACACAGGATAAATGCATCCACAGATAATCACCTATGTAGAATCACAGGCAATCGTTCCATGTACCCCTTCCCTGCATGAATGGGGCCCAATTATCCTAATCACCAATGTTACCGGGAACAAAAGTGAGGGTAAAGCCAACATTTTGAGCTGCCACCAGAACAGAAATAGAGTGAAATCTTCTAAAGCAGACACTTGCTCCACTCCCTGTTGAGGCTACAGGAAATATAAAGGGAAATTTCCCCAATAAGAAAAAGCTAAAGGGGAAAAAAAAACCCCACACACGACAGCTGTCTTAACTAGGGATGCACCCATACCAGAAAATCGGTATTGGTGCAAATACTGGGCATGTTCATGAGTACCCTAATACTAAACGCTGATGCCGGCACTGTAAACAGGTGCCACGGTTCCAAGGAAGGCTGCCGAGGTCCCCAGCAAGCAGAGACCTCGGCAGCCTTCCTGTAAACTGCGGTGCCTGTTTACAGCGCCGGCCACACATCTCCTCCTCCTCCTTCCTGAAATGACGCCACCCGCGAGACCAACCAGACCCCTGATGAGACCCCGCACAGCCTCCCGAGACCATGCATAGCCCACCTAAGACCCCACACAGCCCTCCAGAGACCCCTGCATAGCCTTCCCGAGCGCCCTTACTGGAGACATCAGGCCAGCACCCCAGAGCAGCACAGAGTATATAGCTTCATATTTTGCATTGATGTCAAATGCATTGCTGGAATTTGTAGTCATCTATAGCCGGCTGCCATTCGGCATTGCTGTATAATATTTTGCTGGCACTTGTAGTGCTGCATCCCTAGTTTTAATCCCTCCCCGCCCCCCCCACAAACGCACACACTATGGCTTTAGATATACTTTAACCTCTTGTGAAATCTATAGGCTATACATTAGAAACATTTTATGCAACTAGGCTACAGAGCTTCCTACCGTTTTTTCCTGTGAAACAACCAGCAGGTCAGTGAGATAAGGACTAAAACACCAAGAACACAGGCCAAAGCAACTGAAAGGACAACACCTGTGTATAGAGAGAGACATGATATCAGCCAACAGGTAGGTTTATCAGATAATAGTTACTGATGGGTGACCATCTTCAGCCAGACTCCAACTTACCTTCCCTAAAAGAGACCGAGACCAACCTGTCACCTTCTTGCTGAAGCTGCCTGTAATTATCAACCATCTGCGTGGGTGCCGAAGTGTTAGTCTCTGTGCAGTATAGTGTGGTCTCTAATAATGACAGCTGAAAGACAACAGATTTGTCACTTAAAACAGGGCCAATTTTGTTAAAAATTAATTTTATAAAAAGGAAAAAAAAAAAAAAAAAGATGCACAATTTTTTAAAATTATTCCCCCCCCCCCCAAGAAGAAAACCCACACCTTATTTAGCAGTCATTGGCTGAAATGTGCTTTACAGTTCCATCTATAAAACATGTCACTGTAGACACCACATTACCTGTTCCTCCGAAACAAACACAGGATTGTGGAAAACAGACCACAAGACGCTGGGGTTGCAGGGTGGCGTAGTAAGGGAACCCTCATACCGGTAATATTCATCCATCCTGTCAGGCAATAGATCTTGGATATTAAATCCCGGAATTTGAATGTTTTGCCCTGCGTGACAGTGAAAGCTTTAACAGCAGAAGCCATATAAAAATTGCCAAATACAGTTGAAAAGATGTCAGATAACAAAATACCATGCGTTACATTAGAACTAAACATAAAACAAGGTATTAACAGTAGGTAACAAGTATACTAGTAAATCAGACACTTACCTTTGTATTTGACGTTTGGCAGTTTAGTAAAGATTTTATCATATGCAGGGTTGAAAGAACCAATCTGTAAGGAAAAACAGAAATGCATAAGGACATTATAATATCATATATGGAACAGACTAGAAGTGTATATATATACACACACGGTACTGCAATAATGTTTGAGTGAGTCTATTATATTCAACCAACCATTCTAATATGGCTGATCCGCAAGAAGGGAAAACAAATCCAGAAATTAGTCCACATGATGTTGCATTAAAATAGTGCAAAATAATTTCTTACAGGGCCCACCATTGCCAACTAAAGCATCGCCCTAGTTCAATCAACTAAAAGGGAATGAATAAAAATACTGCATCAAAATAAAATAAAAATGTGAAAATTACAACAAAATTGTAATATTTTTAATGATGTATAAATAGAATTGCTTAAACTGAAGCTATGAAAAGGGCACATATTAGGAGTGGTCTATATATTGCAGTGCTACATAGCAACATTACTACCTTATTGTTCTATGGCCACACAAGTTTGATATCCATAACATACATTATCTGTAGCCCTTTGGCTTCTTCATTTGACGATTATGATGTAAACATATACACTTATTTTCATCCACCTCCCTTCATTCTCTACATCTCATCTCAGTATTAAATATTTGCTTTCACACGTGATTTTGATACAACATTCATAATCTTGCAAAGAGTTGCGATGATGGTAGGGGAGTTGTTGGCTACTTATGTACCTTGAATCTAAATGGAATTTAGCTGTACATGTAGCAGGGAAGTGAATTTGTAAAGTTATGAAATTTGGGCAATTGGTTGTATTTTAATTTCTTATTTCTATAGCTATATAAAAAGAGCAATGGTTATCGAGTGTTATAATAAGGTTGTGTGGACAAACAGTATTTAGGAGTTTCTTCAGAATTGCGGGGCATAAGCTTTTTGACAGAGTAAAGACTTTCCATTCAGGAGCTTTTTGGAGAAGAACTGCTTCTTCTTCACATTAGCAAGGTTAGAGGAGTTAGTTGGGCAACTTTGAGAATGCTCTCTGGGAGGACCCCTTGAAAACTGCTTTGGGGATGTGCACCTGGGGAACCCCCTGAACAAGTCGCAAGGATTAGAACTGTGAAAGTTAAAAAAAAAAAAAAAACCACCCACAAACACACCCAAAAACACTCCATGTCTACATCAGGATTTCAAGCCAACATATGTTATATGTTATATACACTGCTCCAAAAAAAATTTAAGGAACACTTTTTCAGCTGCTTTGGGTTTAATGAAAATAACAACAGATACACTAGATGGGCAACAATGGGATGACCTCCAAAACAGGAATGGTTTTACAGGTGGAGGCCACTGACATTTTTTTCCCTACTCATCTTTTCTGTTTTTCACTTGTTTTGCATTTGGCTAGAGTCAGTGTCACTACTGGTTACATAAGGCGATACCTGGACCCTATAGAGGTTGCACAGGCATGCCAACTCTTCCAGGATGGCACATCAATACGTGGAGGAGGAACAGGATGAGCACTGCCAGAGCCCTACAAAATGACCTCCAGCAGGCCACTGGTGTGAATGTCTCTGACCAAACAAATCAGAAACAGGATTTCATGAGGGTGGCCCGACGCCCTCTAGTGGGTCCTGTGCTCACTACCGGGCACCGTGGAGGTCGATTGGCATTTGCCATTGACCAGAATTGGCAGGTCCGCCACTGGCGTCCTGTGCTTTTCATAGATGAGAGCAGGTTCACCCTGAGCACATGCGACAGACATGAAAGGGTCTGGAGAAGCTGTGGAGAACGTTAAGCTGCCTGTAACATCATTCAGCATGACCGGTTTTGTAGTCGCTCAGTAATGGTCTGGGGAGGCATATCCATGGAGGAATGCACAGACCTCTACAGGCTAGACAATGGCACCCTGGCTGCCATTAGGTATCGGGATGAAATCCTTGAACCCATTGTCAGACCCTACACTGGTGCAGTGGGCCCTGGGTACCTCCTGGTGCAGGACAATGCCTGGCCTTATGTGGCAAGATTATGCAGCCAGTTCCTTGAGGATGAAGGAATTGATACCATTGACTGGCCCTCATGCTCGCCTGACCTGAATCCAATAGAACACCTCTGGGACATTATGTCTCGTCCATCTGACGCCGCTAGGTTGCACCTCAGTCTGTTCAGGAGCTCAGTGATGCTCTGGTCCAGATCTGGGAAGAGATACCCCAGGACACCATCCACCGTCTCATTAAGAGCATGCCCTGAGTACCTTTTAGATTTGCTGCAATTACATTTCAGCACAATGGACTAGCCTGCTACATCATTTGCTCACTTTGATTTTTGCGTTCTGTAGGTCAATCATTTTTCATTTCCATTAAACGATGTGGCATCCTTTTGTTCCTAACACATTACCCAGTCCAGTATACAGTAGATATCCAGCATGATATTTTTCCACATTGAGATCTGATGTGTTTTCAAGGTGTTCCTTTAATATTTTTGAGCAGTTTATTTGCTGCAATGCCATTTATGTTTAGCTTTTCTTTAAGCAGTAAAGTACAAGAAACACACCATGTTAGATTACATTAAAAAGACTGCAGAAAAACATTAATAGAAATGGATTCACACACATAGAACAAACATGCTCTGTGTCTTACCTCAATGAGAATTCCCAGCACGGCCAGACCGTCTCCCGCCTCCATCGCGGTGGCCATGTCTGCATACTTCGTGTTATAATGCACAATATGCAGCTACAGGAAAGTGTTAAAAGTATTTTTTTTAAAAGGTAAAACAAAACTAGGTTGATAGCATGCAGTTATGGCGATTAAAAATTGTAAGATAATTATGTTGTAATAAATTTGAAGTTTGTAGGGAGAGTTAGCAGAAGGGAATATAATATTTAAAAGCATGACTGGGGCTGTTTTACAAAGATGTTTTATATGTTTTAGAACATCCAAAGAACAACAAAAGTCAAGGGCTCTTCGTAGGTGGGAAAACGGCCACTCATTGAGGCATACCTCTACATTCAAGTTATTTTGCTGAAAACACCACAATTTATATGAATATATTCCATAGCCCTCGAAGACAGAGATATCTGGGCAAAACTGATTATCCTCAAAACTATATCTAATAAGATATATACCAAAACTGTATTTCATTTCATAATTAAACAAAAAACATAATACACATACATTTTAAAAACAAATACATGCTTCCAGGCACAGATATCCCAGTCCTAAATCACAAATCCGCATGATTTAATTAATCCTCATCTCAAAGTCCACATGATTTATTATTATTCAGGTTCCAAGATAACGCACACTTTTATAACATCCTAGCATACAATTGGGCATGGCTGTGTAAAGGGCACTACAACACTGAACAGGAAAAAGATTAAATGAAAATCACTCATAACCCCAAGTTATCATACAGTTTGATATATACCATATTACCTTATATATCCTATCCTTTTTGAAAGCAAAGAATACAGGAAGTAAAACAGTTTTATTGTGCTCATTAGTTTCAGCCTGATGGAGATTGCATGTTCAAAATAATAATTCATAAGGCTGAATAGTCTAGGAGTGAGGAATGTTAATTAGTTGTGTTGTAATTCAAATAAAACACTTGCCTTGAAAGTAAAAGAAATAAATACTATGTTTGGTTGTTGGACTGCTAGAAAGTGTCTGCTGCATTGGAAGGGTTCGTAGTAATGAAGGTAATGGGTGTATGGTTCACACCATGTCTGTGAAGCTACATTTTTCTGCCCACTACAGCACATACATCATGGTGTAAAAAGGGTACATAGAAAACATTTGTGTTCCAAGTGCCCTGATCACACCATACATGTGCAGTGGTTGCAGAAACCACGCCTCTTGCAGGGACAAGACCTCAAGACCTGCAAGTGTTACCCAACTGCAGCACAACAATAATGTTTTAGAAAAAAAAATAAAGAAGTCTGCTGCCTTCATATGCCCAGACTACGTAGTGGAAGGAACCATGCCATATTTTCAACTTTATTTTACTTACTGCAGTCATTTCAAGTTGAAGTACCAAGAAGGTTGTTTAGCTGTTCCCACTATGCACCATACCCTCAGCTGCTTTATCCAAACATATTACCTCGGCTGGAAACCTCTTGCCACCAATACAGTGCTCTGAACCTTTAGGACTGGCTAGGTTGCCCCAGTGAAAGTGAAGATGTGATGCCATGTAGCGGAAGGGGGGGATTTCCATATACATTTTTGGAAGTAGACTCACAGACACTGTTTGGGGAAAAAGTTGTATTAAATTGTCATATTTAGTGAATGAACTAGAAAACAAAAAGGTCACAAATATTGCACTATACCTGTATGTCCATTGTTTGATATTGTGAAGGGTTCTGTACTGGAAGCATTGTATCCATATAGATGTATAGGTGCTAGTCTGGAATCATATTGAAGGATGCTGTGATGGAAATCAAGAGGCGACTGATAGACACCACCACAAAACCTGTATTTTAACGGCCAATAGTTCTCTCCATCATTACCTAGATGGAACAAAGATCAAGAATTTAATTTCTAGGACATTTTTCAAAAACAATTTTTGTTTTGTAAATGTATTATTTCCTCTCCCTGTATTAAAACCAATGTATCCGCCATCCTCAACCCTCCCTCTTATATTCCCCTCCTGGTTCCGCTGGTGAATTGGTGCCGACACTGTCCTTCCTTCTGGAGGGTGGCTACTTTTGTTCCCCATGGTCCCTGTGTGTGTTGTAAAGAGCCATCAATCCAAGCTCACTCCCATGATGGACTACAATCTCACATTTAGTTTACCAATTCGTATTGAAGTTATAGTCCATCACAGGAGCGAGCTTGGAGAGGTGGCTTGTTAGCCCCTGTGTGAGAGCAATAAAGTTAAAGTGAAAAACAAATAAAAAAAACAAAAAACAAAAACAAAAATAACAAGTTAAAAAAAAGATGATAAAATAAAAAGTAAAAAATTAAAACTAACCCTGCCGCCCACGCCATTTGGTTTCCATTCTCCATTGTGGAGTGGGGAGCGCAAAAAGGAACCTGGCTAGGAGCAGCAGAGAGTAAATCAGGCCCTGATCTGAAGTGGCACCACTGGCTACCACTCCCCCCCTCCGCTGCTCTGCCGGGCCACACTGAACTGCGGGAAAGCAGTGCCTGCACTGGGGTCAATCAAGTTAGGCAGCCGCCTCAGCACACGCTGGGGCTTTGCAGTTGCCTAGTTTGTGTGATTACAGAGCCGAAGGTTCGGCAGTGGGAGGAACGCAGGAGGAGAAGGGAGCTTTGTTTTTAAAAATCACTGGCTTGATAAGTCAATGGGGGGGGGGGGGGGGGGGGGGGGGGGGGGGGGGGGGGGGGGGGGGGGGGGGGGGGGGGGGGGGGGGGGGGGGGGGGGGGGGGGGGGGGGGGGGGGGGGGGGGGGGGGGGGGGGGGGGGGGGGGGGGGGGGGGGGGGGGGGGGGGGG